TTGGACTGTTGGAATATAATTATTATTAGAATTTAAAAAGAAATGCTTGCAACACAAAATATTTGCTAGTGGATTATTTGTATTCAAAGTTTAAATTTTAAACCATATCCTTATACTTAGTGATGATCAAACAGCACATGAAACTCATTTAGATGGGATGTTTAAAAATTACCACCATGAACCTACTAAAAAAAATTATGTGTTTTAAATAATTTAAATGACTTCTATGAAGTTGACTTGGTTTTATTAGAAAGATAATTGCCAAAAGCTAATCTGTAAAACAAAAAAAAATTATATATTGAAATAAGGCATTTAGACATCATTAAAACATTGGCATGGTCATCCATCACTCAGCATTTATTAACTCATCAAATTGAAAATTAAAAAAATAAATTTAAAAATCTCTTAATCCAGAGATTCGGTTGAAAATAAATTATTAAATTTAAGGATTAAATAACTAGGTTTTATAAAAATAATACTTACATTTTGCTTAAAACATAGCAAAAATAATGTATGTTCATCCACAGTAGCCTGTGAGCTGCCATCAAGGTTATAAGTCAACAACAGCAGACTTCTACTGGCCCAATGATTTTGAATATACACCTATTTTTAGAGATGGTGAAATTTTGGTCTCCTTGTTATATGCTTATTTTTATTTATTTATTTTTCTATCACTACACACAATTTCTGCCCTGGAGAACAGAGTTCTCATAAAATTAGTTCTTTTTTTTTTTTTTTTTTTTACACAATTTTTAATAATAAAAATATGTATTTTCTTTTTTTTTCCATTTTATAATTCTTCCTGATTTAGATGTGGCTATTTTACTTTTACCATTCAGAATTTTATGGAATGTTGTTTGATTCCACTTGAGGTTCAGCCAAATCTTCAGAAGCCTTAGTTTCCAAAATTAATGCTTGCTTTAGCCAGTCTCATCAGAAATTTTTTTGGTAAGGTATTTCTGACTATCTCAAGTGGAACTGGATACAGAGCTGCCTGGGGTTCCTGAACTCTGTCTGTAACCACAAATATTTACAAGTATTTAGATTTTTTGGTACATATGAATTGGGTAAAGAAGACAGACATTCATTGGATAGTTTGATTCAAGGAGCTTGTGTGTTGCCTCCTGTTACAGCAGTAAATGGTGAGTAATTTGATTCATTAAGTGTCACACTGATTCCAAGAAGGACAATAGGAAGAGCTGACAACCACAATTTTCTCCTGGCAATAATTACCATTTTTAGAGTTTGATGCACCCGTTCAATTAATCCATTTGTTTGTGGATGGTAGGATGTTGTCCAAAGTCTGTAGAAACCTATTATTTTTGACAGTTCTGAAACAAATTTGATTCAAATTGATTACTCTAGTTTGTAACGATATGGAGAGGAACTCCAATTCTGGATATCCACTTGTCGATGAAAACCATAGAAATTGATTGTGTGACATTATCGGCTACAGGTGGATGGGCTGACCCAGAAAGCACTTATCTCAGGTTGAGATAACATTTAAATCTTTGCCTGGAATGTTCCGGGCTGGACACACTTAAACCCACTGTTTGAGATTGATGACAAACTTCTGTTTTGTTCAGGTTTAAAACAGGACATTTTTTTGGATAATAATTTTTCACTTGAAGATAAAGATTTAAGTTAAGTGTCACATGTGGCCTGCAACAAAAGAGTAATATTTTTTTAATCTTTTTCTGGAGATTTGATTTCTCCATAAAATAAAGCAATACAGCCATTTCTTGATGCTTTTGCCGGTGTCCAGCGGAAATCGGATGATAATTTTTTTTTCAAGGGGTGATTTTTTCCATAAATTGAATTCACCTAAAATTTAAAGTAGTTGAGATGGTTAGCTTTTAGTTACAGTTCAGACCGCTTGTTGATATGGTCCCTAAAAAGGGATTAGTCAAGTGGATCAAATGACACCACCAAAGAGAGTAGTAACAGGTTGTTTCTAAGGAAGTTGGAGGAAGGAAAGGAGGTAGCAGCTATGAGTAGAAGCCAGAGATACCGGAGAAGGTAAGATGGAGTTGGAGGGGTGGATTAACCCTCTCACTGCCACTAAGGGACTGGATAATTGTCCAAAATTGAAAAATCTCAGTTGAGACAAAGGAATGATTGATATTTCTATGCCAGTCAGACAACCCTCCACCTCACCTGGTTTTGAGTGAAGATTTGTAAAAACCGGGCATTTTGAGGCTTTTGGTGAGAACAGGGCTGTAGGTTAAGCAGAGAACAGGGCCACAGGTCAAGCAAAGTAGAACCGCAGGTCAGGCAGAACATCAGCAGACTCCAGAGTAGTTCAGTAAAATCTACAGGAGAACTGAGAAGAGTTATCACTTAGATTTGAATCAGAATGTGCCTAAGAATTGACTAGGCTACCTCCTGAATCCATGATCATGTACCAACCTAAAACCAACAATTAGACACCCAGAGTGAGCAACTAAGAGTCCAAGTCTAAGGTATAATTGTCCGTCACTCCTGTGGTTTTTCTTTTTTTTTCTTTTTTTTTTTTAATCTTGTATTGTTTTCTGATATTACCCTGTATAAATGATCTGTTAAAGTTAGGAAGAATTGTCATCTCCCTCATTATATAACCATCAGAGCTGCTGTTAGCTGTGGTGTACCAACTCCTGCAGCAGACTTCTGGTCATTTGAGATCAGTCATGATGTGGGCGTTTGACCGGACTTTTTGACAACTGTAGAAGTCACTGCAACCAATGGTTGATAGAAGAAATCTGATATTGACAGTCATTATCAGATATTCAGTGAGCCCTTTAGCTCATTGGCTGACCAGATGGCATTATATTTGAACTGAAATCTCTGTCAAGGGACACTCTTCTATTCTTCAAGTGCTTATATATTCAAGTTAGTAAATAGTCATATCGTGAGAAATTGGCATCAGTAAATGTTTTCACTGGTGTTAAGGAACCCACTATATCCAGGTGCACTGTTTGGAACCAATTAGAAGTTAAATGGCTAAATGTTACTCTTTGTATGCATGGCTATTTTTGTGTTCTGGAATTGCTGACATTTCTTGAATCATGTTTTTATTGATTTGCCCATTTTTGACCAGTAGTACCTCAATCTTATCATTCTTATTGAAGGTGATATTTAAGGGTGTGACAGATTATGCAGACTCAAATACTGATTTTCAGTTGTGGAAAGGGTAATGACATGTCACTTAGAATAGTGTGTTCATTTATAGGATATAGCTTCAGCTGATCATGAAAAGAGTTTAATTTGTTTATCAGTAGCTTCATATTTCATCATTTCCTGCAAATCATATACATCTATTGTAACTGCATTTGCTGGTCAAGATAAACAACCAGCTATTATATTCTGACCACCTTTTACATATTCACTTATAAAACAGAGGGGAACAATCAGAGTCAGTTGATGTAATACTGCACCTATAGAATAATTAGAACTATCTGTCACAAGCTGATAGTTATTAACATTTAAGTTGGGGTAGGTGAAAGCAGTTACACTCAACAAAATCTTCTTTATAGTTTCAAAAACTTCCATCTTTTCTTTTTTAGTGTTAAGATATTTGTTTGAGTTTGTTATGATGGAGAAAGAAGTGATATTTATGTAAATTGACTTATCTGTGGTCTTAATGTCTGGAGCTGCTCAATTTCACATGCTCCCCTTGCAAGAGACTGGTTGAAAAGAAGTGCTCTAAATTCCCCATCAGTAGATCAGTTTTCTTTGTTCTATGGAATCATGGGAATTAGAGATTTTTTTTTTTCATGTGATCGCAAGATCACTATGTGATCACATGTATGCATTCTGTGAATGGGAACTGCAGATTGCTAAAATGTGGAACAAGCTTCCTATAGAAATTGGCTATTACACGAAATTGATGCAATAAATTAGAGATGTCTGGAGGAAATTCAGTTAACTAAACAAGTTTCTTAGTGCAAATTTTAATACCATAACTATAAATGCTGAATCCCGAAAATTCAAATTCATGAACACTGAAAATTGTAAGTTCATTCTCACTGAGTTTTTGTAAGACTTTGTAAGACAAGTTGCTTGAAATGAGTTTTGTCATCATCTGAGAAAATGAGCATGCTCTGGTGCAAGCAAGAAAGCAAGGTCCCAGAAATTCCATCTACTATCACTCAAAGTATTTTCTCACTATGCAAGAAGCTTGTGAGCCACTTTCTAGTTTGTGGCTGGCTTAGAGTTGTGACTGTGCTTCTGAAGTGGCACATGTGTGGTAACCAAAGGATGAGATAACAAAGCTTGTGATGCCACCTTGAAGCACATAATTCATGAGACCAGAGTGCACCAGGAGGATCCTGCAAAAGAGAACTGGTGTGTGAGTGGATGGGCTGGCACAAGATCTTTGGCTACAAGAGTAGCACTGGAAGTAAACAGGCTGGCTATGATCAGAAGTCAATGACCAGCACATTAACCTTGCCCACTCAGTGCAGTATTGAAGGGAATAAACCTGTTTCTTCAATAGAAGGTGACAATGCTGCACCTAGTTACTGATTCTACCTGTACTCACCATTGGAGATGGCTGAAGACTCTTTGTGTGCTGATCAAGAAGTATGACTTGGTCATGGACATGAAATTAGTCAGATCAGACCAGAATAAAGATGACAGTTTCACTAGAGTGCCAGAGATGGCTCAATTACCTAAGAAATGAAGTTGAACCTAGGTATATGCAGTGCTGCCATGCATGAATTAGATTCTTGCCAAATAATGGAAATCCATTGGCACAACAATCATCTTAACATGATGTGCACCACGTACTTTGTAAAACACATTGCCCCTTCCACATCTAGAGCATCTAAGAGTGTCCCGAATGCCAATCCATTGATCTAGCACAATACATTGTCAAAGTGGCAAACTAGAAGTAAATAACATATGCACTAGGTTGGAAATGGACATCACTCACTCTGGACAAAAACACTACTTGAGCCTGATAGACTGTGGAACAACATGTTTCTTGATCTAGTGATCATTTGCTTGACAGGACTCTGAGAATGTTATTTGCCAGCTGGAGCCTATCTTTTGTAAGAAGGGTCCACTGCATGAGCTAATTGTGGATAATGATACTGTATGTAGTAGTAGTAAATTCAAGGTCTTCATGGAGGAATGGAGTATCTAACAATGTTTTTGATGTACAAAATGGTATCATGTAAAAATGTCACAAGACTATCAAGCAGATTGCTACAGGAAGCAGTGTGTGATACAGGAAGCTGTGTATTGGTACAATACAATACCAAACGATAGCACCACAAGCCCTACTGCACACGCCAATGCATTCTACTCCAATGAGATTAGACCCAGTACCATCAACAAAATATGTTATCTATAAGATAGGAGACATTGTGTGTGTCAAACTACACCACTGTACTTCCAAATCTACAGAAGAAAAAGTGACTGGGATTGTCAGTCTACTGTCTGTTTTGGTTGATAACATGTTGCTTCATGGTAAGGATCTTCAATTTTTAATTTTTTTATCTTCTTTTTTTAATAATTTATTATTTTGGTTTCATACTCCTCCTAAGGGTATGAGGTTCTTTTTGATTTATTTGTTGCTATTGCTACAAAACTTTACATGTCAATTCTTCAAATATGTCTACTATATTTAAGTAAAGGGAAATTTTTGTCAATTGGATGGATTTCATAATTGTACTGAAAAATTACAATTTAAAAAAAAAATAGATATTAAATGTAGATTTTTTTTACTGTTTAATCCTAATGGAAAAGTTTTGTTGCGAACAAACAAAACACTAACTCTCAAAAAAAAATACTTTTTGAGTTTTATGGAATTATTGTTGGGAAGGTTCAAGACCAATTTTCAGTATGTTCATGGTTGATTTTACTGAAAACATCTTTCGAGATTAAAAAAAAACCCTCTCCATCAATTTAAAAAAGTACTCACCATATATTGAAATACAGGGTCAGGGGAGGCTGTAACCCAATATTTCCTCAATATTTCTAGTTTTCTAAAATAATGACATATTTCATTGACTTGCTTAAAAGCCGCTCTATTGAGTGGTATTTAAGCTAGTTCCTGTGCAGGGCTCTTGATTGGGCTTTCAGCCCAACAATGACACTTCATGTATTGAGTACATATTAAATTTTATTAAATTGAACAATATTTTCAAACAATTAGCAGTTTTCATCAAAACAATATAATTTGTCTATTTTGGAACTTATTGCAAAGCTGCATGATAAACAACATTTCTGGTTTTCCTATTCAGGGTCAGTACAAATAGCTTGTTTCCATTCCCAACCCTTGAATAACCAACATAGAGCTGGTCATGAGAAAAGCAGGGTTCCATCAGATGAAGTCCAATTACTTTCAGTGATTGTCCTTGAGATTATTGATTGACATTGCATATCTTACTCTCTCTAGACACTGAAGTCTTTTGAACTCAAGAAGAAGATATGGAGGAATTAAAGGGATTCTTGGAATTAAAACTCTTTTCTCCTATCCTTTACCAGTAAGGATCTTTGCTTCCAAGAGATAAGGAAGCATCTTCTTGATAACTTTGTTCCATTACAAAGCTTTGGAGGATCCAAATTTCTCAATAGCATAACTGGCACATTTTTCCAGCTTGTGTAATGGCATTCCAGGAGGATTCAATGAGTTCAGGAACTCTGTTGGATAATTCACTACCTGCTCTTGTTCAACTACAGTGTCAATGGAAAAGTACTTCATGCTTTCTTTTGGAATTTTTTGGATTAGTTTCCAGTTGATGCTATTTACAGTTTGCTTCTTGGGAGCTAATATGGCCTTCTCACAAAGCCAGTTTGAATTCATGAAAATGCGTTTAATGTTTGGATATACACGGTTAATCAAATCTTGGATACTTGAGACTGGAACTCCACAACCATTTTGGATTGAAATATTTCCATTTTGGTCTATTTTGATGGTTCTATTGCCAAGCCACAACAGCAAAGCAGCAAATCTTCCTGCTTTAAGGTCATCTGTGATTCTTACTCTCATGTTTGTTTTCAGGTTGAGTCTTTGAACATGACTCCAGATGTAGGAATTTTTTAGGCAAGCATTGATTCCATCAGCTGGAGTTCCTCATGTTTGTCTAAATCACCAGAGAGTAGCACAGTGATACCTCATATGATTTGTAAATTCTGTCTAATATCATTGAGTATTTTGTCCAGGGCTTCAAATGCCTGCTTGGGACATTCATTCAGACAATGAAGTTTGTCTCCTCCAGTAGCTTAGCCAAGTTGGTCCCTCTTTTGATGTTGAAAGTAGGGATTTCATTGTAGTTCACATCCAATGGAAATTTGAAGCTGCTGTGTGTTGTATACACTCCAGACAAAAGAGTAACAGCAATTCCAGATGATGCTACTTCTAGAGCTACTTTTCTTTGGAGTCTCACTGCAGATAAAAGAAGGTTAGTTACAAAAGTTTTACCAGTACCTCCAGGTGCATCCAAGAAGAAAATCTCTCCATTGTTGTTGCTGATGTCATCAAGGAACTTCTGAGACACTTGCTGTTGGTCTTGGTTCAACAGGGGCTCATTGTTTTGAACCCATTGCCAAAATTATTCCACATTGTACCCTGTTTCTCTCAAAATTTCTCTGTTTATTTGTGCTGTATCTCTGTCTGGATTTGGCAGACCAAAATTGCTGAGATCTCTTTGAGCCAAGTTCATCACTTTGTCATCACAGATTGCACTCTGAGAATTCAATTCCAATCCTGGATGATCAAGTCTCATTTGAAAAAAATGCGATATTTAAGTTAGACAATTGTGTCCATTTAATTGAAAAAGTGTGATATGCAGAAATTTTCGCATTTATTATATAGATAAATGACATTGAAAATTAGAGATTTGTTTGTAGTGATTACTACTATGCTTGCCACGCCTACATTTTTCTCAACTGTGATTGGTCAAATAATAAATACTAAATATCACAGGACAATTTACTGATCGCATTCACCACACTGAATTTTTCCTACCGTTAACTCACAAACATGCTTTTGTTATAAAATCACCGATTGGTTAATTTTTCATCCAATCAGATATTTTTCATGTTCTTTCAAAATTTATCCTGCGTTCGTGCTGGGAGCCTACCGATAGTAATATAAGTCCGGATTCATTCCCAAATTAAACAGTAGAGTTGAAGACAGTTGAACTCAACTACTGACACGCGTCTACACAGATTATTCATTCTACTCACTCCACACAGACACAGAACTTGAATATCATTCACCATAAGTTCTTTGTAAACAAGCCAAGTTGCAACACCTTTGTTAGTTATACAAAATATACAATTGAACTTACTGTATGTTCTTCTGAATACACATTTTATTTCAATAGAGAACTCTGAACATTCTATTCAGAAAACTTGCTTAATTACATTTCCTAATTTAACTAACAGATAAAGGGAAACTACTTTTTTCTCCTTATTCAGACATTACAAAAATTACCTTTGTTGATTTTAATATATATTTTATCGTTGAAACACAAATCGGTTCCTTGATTTTAAAAAATGTATAAATGTTAAATGCTCTTCAACACGCACCCACATTAATCTTTTCAACAAAACACCATTTACATTGATAACCCCAACACTTAAGAAAATAGCATTTGATAATTCCCTAATTTTTGCAAAATTTTAAAAACTGGGTAGCGTTTCTTGCTTTGAATATCAAAAATCAAATGGTGAAATAGTGTTTACAATTTTAGGTGAAAACAATTTGAAAATTCTTTTTATACCCCATATTGTTTTTTTTTGTTTTTTGTCCGACAAGTTCTTACTTAATATTATTATTTTAATTTTGGTGGCTATTTTTTTTCTTTTTTACCTGGAGCCCACCTGATCTTAGTGTGGCTCAAAAAAATTCTTAAAAACAAACTGAATTTATTTAAAAGTTTTTTAGGGTGATTCAAACAAATAGATTTTTCCAAAGAAATTAGTAATGGCATTTTTACTTTGAATTATTAAATTAACCCTTGTTTTGAATAATTTAAAAAAAAACAACTTCTTAAAGACAATGCAGAAACGTACGCTGAACCCCACAAATGTCACTTTTTCAAAGAAATATTTTCGCAGTAAATTTTATAGATCGAAACATATGACTTTAAAACTAAATAAGTGGATAATTACTTTGTTTTTAATATTCAAATATAAGAAATCATCTTGAAAAGGCAAAAGAATAAAAAAACAAAAACTTTATATACAAAAATAAAACTACGACGACGTTAAGTAATTAATTGACTACGCAGACTTGTTGATTGATGTCGATCCACTACATTTTGTGTAGGATTACATTATTACGAACCTGATTGAAATAGTTCCCGAAATCATTCCTTCCCCACCCCCATTTTTTAAAAATTTTTCCTACATTCTTCAAAGTATGCAGATTATCATTATATTTTCCTTGTTTATAATTTTTATTAAATACGAAAATACGGCATGGCTCTGTTTGTTCATTAACTTTGGCGGGACTTGCAGATTTTGGTGTTGTGTTCGGACGATTTATTGAAAAGTCTTATCTTTTTTTTCCTGTCAGGTGAGTTTGAAAGATGATTCTCTCTGTAATTCAGATGAAGTTCTATGCCAAAATTTAATGAATACTTTTCTTGTAAAAATAATTGCTCTTTGAAATAAAAGACATTTTTATTTTTACAGTTTTTAAAGTCTGATTTTTACCTTCAATTGTCAGAAAATGTGTCTTGCAATGTATATTTAATTTTCTCTACCTCCAGTAAAAAAAACCTTTAACAATATTAATTTTTTATTAATTAAATAACTCAATAAATCGCAATCGTCTGTTTTTTGGGATTCTTTTTCTGGAAAATTTTTATATTTATTCTCCTATTTCATTATTTACATTTATTTATTTTTGTGAAAATGTTTTTTTATTGACTCAAGTTTAAAATGTAAAAAAAAAAAAAAAAATTGTTCACCCAAAGAAATGAAAATTCAAAAAAATGTTAATTCGTAAAAAAAAAACGGGACATTATTGTCAGGTTTTAAAATTTCCATATAAGAATATACGTCGTATATTCTTAAAGTAAACTTTTGAACTAGCTTTCATATTTTGAGATACCTGGAAGTATACGCGGTGTTTAAGAAATTGGGAACTACTTAAATAAAGTGGTCCACTCATTTGTTAATTACAAAAAAAGTGTCAAGTTCGAAATCGTTTTTACATCATTGATCTGCACGTAAAGATTTTTTGAATTTTAAAAAAAAAAAAAAAAATGACAAACGAAAAACGCATTTTAAATAATTTATGTACCTCCACTGATTCATTAAAAAATGAGCATCTTATAATGAAAAAAATGTCTCGCACTTAATTTATCGTCAAAGTTTTTGGATTATTAAATTAAATATAATATATATTTTTTGCCCGAAATTTTATTTAAAAGTAGTTGGCACCTCCAAAAAAGAGCATATCTTGATGAAAAATGCTCCCAAACTTGATAAAAAAGTTTTCTCGTCAATGCGGTTGTTAAGAAGAAAGACCAAAGTATTTTTTTAAAAACTTTCTAGCACTTTAGGTGGGCCAAAGTTTATGGGATATTATTCACAAATGAATGAAATTATTATTTTAAATATTTCTTTAGAAAATCCTGGTAAAATTATTTTTTTTTTTTTTTTAAATTTCATGAAATTTGGAGAAATTAATTTTTGTAGGACTTGCTTGATGTTAAGGACAATTCCTTGGAGAATTCTTTTGTAAAACAGGACCCCCAGTTACATAAAATTTTCTCTGAATAGAAAATGCAATAACAACTGACATTATTTAACTAGAAAAGCTTTTAGTCGCTGAAAAAATTTAATCTGAAATTTCAATGATAGATGTGATCAGCTTTATAAAATATCTATTTCCTTATCCTCAGTAATTTGCTTCCCTCTTTTTTAGTTGTGGCGTACAGATGTTTTACTTCCTGCAGAGAGGAAAACCAATCGGCTTTTTTCTGTTTTTTCTCTCTTGTTTTTAATTGTCATTAATGATGATTATTGTATCTTTTCTTTTCTCCCTCTTAAATTTTCTGCAATTTAGTAAATATGCCGGTAAATTTCTATTTTGTTTCCCGAGCGCTAATATCCCTTCAAATTTTTCCAAAATCGTCATAATTCCGTGTAAATGTATATGCTGAACTCGAATTAACAATTAAATTATGAAGAAACCTTACCGTTTTGGAGTTATCGACAAGAAAAAATCGGACTACTTGTTGGTCATTCGTCCCCCATCACTGCCATCATGAATCCTCATTCACTGCCGAAAGATTTTTGGCGTAGTCATAAAATTTGAGCCTATTTACTTCTTTTACAGACTTTCCTTGCAGAAAATCACTACGCACTACCGTAAAGAAATGTAAATTTTTTTTTTTTGGTATGTTTAGTTTTATTTATAATAACCTCTTTTCCGTTTCGAATAGCAATGACAAATTAAAAGAACAAATTAAATAATAAAAATAAAGCATTTTTTATATTGTAAATTTGAAAATAAAAAAAATCAATGCACAAACTTAAATTATTTTTTTTACCATTTGGTAAAAAAAAGTTTTAGACACGAAGGTCATCCTGAAATCACTCCCTACCCAATAAAAGTGGGCAAGATTCACATGAAAAAAGAATTACCTCAGTTAAAATCATTTAAGTGCTTTAATAATTTATTATGGTTTTACTTTTTTTTTTTTTTTTTACTATTTGGCAGAGTTATAAAATTTGGGCCTATTTACTATTGTATTATTTCATTTGTTTTTAAATTGTCCCACCCCTGACCTTAACTAACCATAAAGTTAATCTTTAGGGTTAGGTGTCTTGACAAAATTAATGTTTTTTATTTTTTAATTTGTCCCCTTTTCTTAACAAACCCTAAAGATTAACTTTAGGGTTAGGTGTTAAGGTTGGGGTTTTCTTGCTGTGCAGAAAAGGGGACAAATTAAAAAAGATTAACTTTAGGGTTAGGTGTTAAGGTTAGGGGAGGGTTTTCTGTGTAGAAAAGGGGACAAATTAAAAAAAGATTAACTTTAAAAAAAATTAAATAATACAATCAACCATTCTACTTTACCAAGGTTGTACGTTAACTTTAGGGTTAGTTGTTAAGGTCGGGTGGGGTTTTCTGTGTAGAAAAGGAGACAATTTAAAAACAAATGAAATAATACAGTCAACCCTTCTACTTTACCAAGTTTGTGCATTAATTTTTTTTTTATTTTCAATTTTACAATATAAAAAATGCTTTATTTTTATTATTTAATTTGTTCTTTTAATTTGTCATTGTTATTCGAAATGGAAAAAAGGTTCTATTGTATTATTTAATTAAGAGGACAAATTAAAAAATAAAAAACATTAAATAATTTACCAAGTTTGTGCCTTCATTTTTTTTTATTTTCAATTTTACAATATAAAAAATGCTTTATTTTTATTATTTAATTTGTTCTTTTAATTTGTCATTGCTATTCGAAAGAAACCAACTGTTTTGGAGTTATGGACAGGAAAAAAATCGGACTTCTTGTTGATCATTTGTCCACCATTAGTTCCATAGTGTTCAATGATAAATTAAAAGAACAAATTAAATAATGCAATAAAGCTTTTTTTCTTTTCTTTTTTCTTTTCTTTAAATTAAAAGCAGACAAATTGAAGAAAAAAATAAAATAATACAATAAACCTTTATTTCGTTTCTAACATTTTTTTTATTTTGTAATTTTATTTTGTACATAATCATGCTCTTTACAAAGTGTTATGTTTATGGGTTGGGTTAGGGTTCTTTCTGTGTAGTAAAGGGGACAAATAAAAAAAAAAAAATCAAATAATACAATAAACCGGGTTAAGTTTAGGGTTAGGTGCTAGGTTAACTTTCTGTGTAAAAAAGGGAACAAATTAAAAAAAAATTAAATAATACAATAAACCAGGTTAAGTTTAGGGTTAGGGGTGGGGTTAATTTTCTTTCTGTGTAGAAAAGGGGACAAATTAAAATAAAAAAAAACATTAAGTAATACAATCAACCCTTATTTCATTTCTTTACCAAGTTTGTGCATTACTTGTTTGTTTTATTTTCAATTTTAAAATATAAAAAATGCTTTATTGCATTATTTAATTTGTTCTTTTGTCATTGCTATTCTACACAGAAAAAAGGTTTTATTGTATTGAATTTGTTTTTGTTTAAAGTTTTTTCTTATGAATAAAACTACACTTATCAAAAACAAGAAAAAATTGCTTTTCAATAATGCGTAGTGATTTCAAAAAGAGATATAGCTGTAAAAGAAATAGGCCAAAATTTATCCTTACGCCAATGGAAGTACCCTGCACTGAATTACTTTTTTTCTTTTTTTTTTTCTCTTGTCGATAACTTCAGACTGGTAGGTTTCTTCATAATTTAATTGTTAATTCAAGTTCAGCATGTACATTTACACAGAATTATAACGATTTGGGAAAATTTTAAGAGATATTTAATGTGGCCATTAAAAAGCAAATTTACTGTTTTTTTTTTTTTTGTTTTTTGTTTTTTTTTTTGTCACAGCCACTAGATGTAGAATATAAATTAAAAATAATTTAAAACAGAGAAAAATTAAATGGGCCATGTTTTATTTTAATTTTAGACTAAGGCCCCCATATTAACTTTTCCCTTGGGTTCTGAATTTTGTTTCTTTTTTTTTTTTTTTTTTTTCAAAGATTTTAAAAAGTGTAAACCTTGATATGGTTTACTAAGATACATAATTGAAAAAAAAAACTAATAAAAAAAAGCAGGGATGCAAACACATGAAGAAAATTTAAAAAAATTAATTATTCTGTTACATTTATAGGGCCCCTGATTTTCCGTTTCAAATTTTCCTTGATTCTGTTTCCACTTTTGGTAAATTCCATTTTTTTTTTTTTTTTTTTTTTTTTTCTTTTACTTTTGGGAAATTTCATTTTTTCCATTTTTGCAAGCAGAGACTAATTTTGTCAAAGCTGTTATTAAACAAGTGCAGTTCTCATTCATAAAATGCTGATTTAGGCACAAATTATGGTAAGAGGCATAATGTAGTCGAACATCATCTACTAATTCTAGTATCCTATCTACCGCAAGGCCATGGCTCTTGCTTAAAGAATCCTTCATAAAACTGTAGAAAGGATGAGTGAAATTTGGCCACATTAAACCAAGAATTCCATCTGATTTCCACTGGTACCAGGGGGTAGTTACGCTTGTTTCTTAGGCAAGGAACCTTCAAGCCATTTTAAGTATTGCTTTTTCCAACTAGGCTTTTTAATGCTAGGTAACATTATCAAATACTGACCAGTGTGAAAATACTTCAACAAGATTTAAAATATATGCTAAGCACAACACATGGCAACTGTTAACAAAGACATTTGACAGCACTTCCTTATGAGCTTTTTTGCAATAGGCTACAAAACCTGTTACAAAGGCAATAATAGCCTCAAATGCAATATCCACATGAGTTACAGCTTAGATGCATGCCTGACTTACAGTTTGATGATTGCTTTCTCACAATGTTACAACATCAATGAGAAATGACTCCCCACAAATGCTTGCAATTACATTCAAAATGCTGTGGT